CAATAACAAAGACATCATACAGCATGTAGTATAACCTCGACTGCGGCGCTGAGACTAGCCAATATTGAATATTGGTTTAGTTGGCAATAGAAGAAGCAGAAGAAGCAGAAGAAGGAGAAGAGGAAGCAGATGAAGTGGAAGAGCCCTGACATTGAATGGATGATGGACACGCACACACACATATACACTCTTACACACATACACATATGCGCATTATCACATCAACATTAAAAATATTACTTACACACATACCAACATACATACGCGTACGAGTTTCGTTGTGAACAAAGCCATAGACAACGTGCCACAATGTAGCAAGGTGAAAGCAAGAGCTGCCCTTCAGTGGCCAGCCAACACTTGTGGCAGGCAGGCAGTCAGCGACAACACAACAAGAACAACAACAATAATCATCAAATATGATGATCAGTAAGCAGCAAACAACAATGGTGACGAGATGGATACAGCTGCTGTCGGAAGACATTATTAACCGTTATCGAGTGCACACTCACTCGAATGTGTGCAACACGCAGAACAACAACAAAAATACCCAAGTATCACTATGTGTGTGTGTGTCTGGCATGTAAGCCAGCCAAGGAAACTAATTTGTTGTGTGATAAGACAGCAGCGCGCCGCTCAACGCAGGCAGACGCAACGGCGGAGAAGTATTGGCGAGAGGAGCAGAGATGGACGTGTGAAGCGAACAAAAGCAGGAAAATATTGCTTAATGTGCTTTTGAGTGGCATGCCAGCTTGCATACCAAGGTGTAGCCTTCTCTGTATGGTTGCATGCCTGTTTGTGTGTGTGTGTATGTAAGTGTGGTGCAACTTGCAACAAGCAGTGGCATGCACGGGTACACACGTTAATAGGGTAATAGAAAGAGCGGTAGAATGGAAGGTGTGCGCCAGTGTTAAGCAAAATAGGTAACAAAGAGGAAGACGAAAGAAAATGTAGAAAAACTTAAATAAATAATAAAAAATTTGAATAAAAATAAATAAAATAAAAAAATAAAAAATAAAATGCAATAAAAATAAAATAAATTAAAATAAATTAAATCGATCACAATACGTGCGGGGTAGGATAGATACCGAGAATTGAAGAGGGAAGCAAGACGCAGACCGGAACGACCCGGACTTTTATCCGGCCAAGGACAGTCACGCCCGCAAAATGCCCCATAATCGACTTTGGGGCATATTTTTGTGGTTACAGACAAGAAAAGAAGACGGGAGACTGACGAAAATGAGAGCTTCAGAAGTTGGCCGACTTGCAGTAGGTTTCAAGACCAGAGCTGACTCTTGTCGGAAGGACCCAGTGAGATGATCTAGTAACACTACTCCAGCCTGCTGGATGGTAGAGAAAGTGTAACACCCGGAGATGGTGAACCCGCTGGAAAAACAACAAAGCGGTGGAGTCCGATGGCTTACTGACTGAGCCATATAAACATGCCGTTGGAGAACTGGCAAGATGCATGTATCAGCTTCTTTGGAAAACATGCTCAGATGAAGGCATTGTATGTTCTGGCCAAACAAAAAACCGACGCCACAGTCTGCTAAACACAGTCAATTACCAAGGGATAAGCCTTCCTAATAGCGCAAATAAGGTTCTGCCCTAACGTCGCTGTGTATGAACTCGATCTACGGTTATGTAAACTGACGTTAAGCAACACCAAAAGCATCGTTAGGATCGGGAAGGACCTTTTCGAGCCGTTCGATACCAAACGAGGTTTCAGACAGGCTGATTCTTTATCGTGTGACTGTTTTAATCTATTGCTGAGGAAAATAATATGAGCTGCCAGAACTGAATAGAGAAGGCACAATCTTCTATAAGAGTGTACAGCTGCTGGCGTACGCCGATGGTATCGCAGGTAACAAAAAAGGGTACATTAAAGCTGGCACATTTCCCATGTTGCAATAAGCGCAAGTTAATTATGTAGCTCTTGTTGGCTTCTAGTTGAAAGAACTATATATGTATGTATATGTACAAAATGCAACATGCAATTAATTAAGATTTGTTAGGTAAAATGTAAGCAATTAACTGAAGGCAGCAGCATTGCTAACTACTTTAAGCGCTTGGGTGGACGTAGAATCGGCAAAAAATGCTGCAAACTGTTTACTTAAAGACTGATATTTTTTTTGTAATTTCTCTCTTCTCCATCTCTTTTCATCAACTGTCAAGCAGCATTCATCGTACAGCAAATAAAAGTAAAAAGTTTTAGAATATTTTTCTATATTTTTGCTTAAGAAGCTTTAGCTTTTCCCCCCTCTCTCTCTCTCTTTCTCTCTCTCTCTCTTTCCCTCTCTCTCCCTCTCTTTCTCTCTCCCTCTCTCTCTTTTACTCGCTACGCTTTAAATTTCAACAGCGCTGTTTTTTATTACCCTTTTTCTTCTTATTACACGTTGTTCTTTTGTTTTCTATGGCAAGCAAACTTGCAAATTTATTTTTTCTAAGCGCTGAAATGAGAAAACTTTCATTTTTTAAGTGAAATAAGGACAGCTATTGTGAACGTGGAAGAGTTTTGCAAATAAATTGTTGAGAAATAAAAATTTATTGCGAGTTTTCGAATGCGTTTTTACGCGCGTAGCGAATTTACATTTGAAAGCAGAAAGGGAGAAAGAAAGTGAGAAAAACTAGCAATTTGTATGGAATTTAAAGAATGAGGACTTCTGCATACTTTTAGGCGCTGCAAAAAACGAGTTTTTGATTTCTCTCACCCATCCTTATGAATTTACGATTCTCATAAGGTTTGTAGTCCAATTTAATTTTTTTATTTTAGGGCAATTTATTCGATTTCATTTCCTTAAATTGATTTTTTTCTGTCGAAAAATATAATTAATTATACTAAAATTTATTTTAAGCTCAAAGTAATATTTCCCAACAAAATTATTTTTTTATCTATCTACCGAGCGGTGTAGGGGTTTGATTATCGGTTTGATATTTTACTTACGCGAGATCAATATGACCAAAAGAATGTGATGTGTTGTTGTGAGCAGAATATTGTGAAATATCAACTGAGTGTCTTCACATTATTAGAATATAATGCAATCATAAATTATATGTTTGAATGTGATTGTAAGAAGAACACATCTGAACTCATTTAATATGGTGTGATGTGATCATATATTACGTGATGTGATGTTGTATAATTTAATGCACATAATTTAGTTGGAATTTTTACCTATACCGCAAATTTTTGATGCCTAAGACTTGATATGGTATGTTATGATGTGTTGCAATATGATTTTATGTAATCTCATATGTAAGATAATACGCTGTGATATGATTTGATAAGAAAGCTAAGAACACGTGTACTTATTGATGATTTTTAGAGATGTGATGTACTAAAAAGGGATATCATTCGTTTTCATGTATAACCTAACATGATGTGATATTTTCATTTATTTATTGTTTATAATTATATTGTAATGTGATATGATATGACGTGATATGACATGTTGTGATCAAATTTAATATGATGTGATGTCAGCAGCTTTTGATGATTTTTTAGGCTCAACAGCAAGGTATATCTACAGAAGTAACATCAATCGCAGCTAAAATGCTGCTGAAATCATACCATGTTATGTGATATTTTGGCCAGATTTTTATGTTACTGCTTGTGATGAATTGTGGTCAGGTTGAATGTGATTTAAACAAATATTTTAGGATGTGTTCTCATATATTTAATGACGCAATGTAATATGATTTGTTATATTTAATCGATTTTTAGTTTTACTATATCCAAAAAGTGCATCAAACGATAATTCAGCTAACGTTTGTTTTGATGCGATTAAACATCATATGTGATCTCAGGTATGCCCCACATGATGTGACATGAACTGACGCACAGCATTTTCAACAATCATTTTATTTAATTCTGCAACTAGAAACATCATCTTTTGGACTTTTTTTATTATTATGTGATGTGAAGTCATGTGATGTGATGTCATTATATGTGATATGATGTCATTATATCTACTAAATAGTTTTGACCGAATTTGTTGAAGGTGGGAACAGCACATTTTTTTATGATTTTTATGGTCATCAGCTATGTATAAACAAAAACTTTTAGTTTGTGCTCATTATGATATGATGTGATGTGATGTCACTATATATCAATTAAGCTGATATGATGTTAAATCTAATATAATCTAAGCAGATTTTATGAGGAAAAATTAGGAAAGTAGTGCACGCTGTAGTTACTTTAGGTATTTGGGTATATGCAAGACAACAAAAGTACAATATTCTCAGGTTTTTTGGGTATGTGCGATGAGCAGAACCAGAAACCTCAGGAATACATTGGAATTTAGGGTATCTGTGGCGTGCCAGTGCAAAAATGACTTGCGTTTTTTAATATGTGAGGTCATAAGAGCAAATTATTATGTATGTGCGGTATGTAGGGTCGTAAAAGTACAAGAATCTTTCATATTTTCGGGTTAGTGAGTTGTGCACGACCATAAAAGTGCAGTGGTTCTTGGGATATTTGAATATGAGAGGTAGGTTTGCAAGACTATGAGGGTACGTTCTTGAGATACATGAGAATATCAGATGGGCAGAATCGAAATGAGCGGTTCTATCAATTTTTTAACATGTTGGGTGTGTCAGACTTTGAAAAATAGATATCTTTTCAATTTTTTTTAATACAGAAATCATTTTCTAATGAACAAAACGTTAAAACAGAAGTTCAAAGGTTTCCTTTAATCATTTTATTGCTACATACTCACCGATATTTCATATAAATAAAAAAATATAGATTTAAAAATATCTGCTTTCATTAAAATTTATAATTCATACCTACATACACGTATGTAGAGGAATTCATAAATATATTCCTTTCGTCTGTTTTTGCCCGTGACGTGACATCACACGAGGCAAAAGCATGCAAATTATTTATTATTAAACTACAAAAGCAACAACAATATACAAAGAATAATAAAAGAACATTCCTTAACTGAAATTTAATTAACTTTCCCTACACATTTTAACATATTTGCACATTTATATTGCAGCGACAAACAGCTCGGCGCGGCTGCGACAGGCGACCAAATGTCGACATGACGAAATAAAGCAAGACGAATAAAAATAAAAGGGATGCGTGTAGGCGGAAAGAAGTCAACAACAAAAAAATTAATTGATAAATACTGCACAGCATATGTAACAACGTGCATAAATAACGGTACACACGAGCCAACGCACGTACATACAGAAGAGAAAAACGTTTAACCCACCAACGCTGAAAGAAGAAAAAATTAAAAAAAAAATTCCAATTCAAAGGCAAACTAGTAAAAACAACAACAAAAGGAAAAAACAAAAAACTCAGCGACAGTTCATATTGATCGACTGAGCGTAGCTTTAACGTGCGGAGCAGAACATGACAATATAAAACCGACACAGCAACGGAAGCGGATGTCAGCGGCGTAGAAACAGAGACAGCAAAGTGACGGCAGTGGAACAACCGCCACGCACCGCCAGCCCGGTCTACCTCACCACCACAGTGCGCACCGTAAATATGCCATACGCACCGAACGCCACGACGGCCGCCTCAGCATACGCCATCAGCGACAGCTCAAGCGCGAGCCATGAATTATTGAGCAACAACATCGAGCACGCTATCAACAACAACCACCACCACCAACAAAATAGTCAGCTCGACGATAACATTGTAAACATATCGCACAACCTGACCGCCACCATCACATCGATACGCTCGAATGTGACGCGCGTCTTATATATGTACTTTCAGAATGTGACCGACGAGCATGGCTATGGCGCAGCCACAACTCCACCACCTCACACGACGACGACGTTGACGACAGCTGCGCCACCAACGGCTAATGGCTCACACATCGACATCGTCAGCACAACACAGAGGCTACACAGTCTTGCCGGCGCCGCCGCCGCTGCAGCTGCCAGCGATAGTGGCTCGGCAGCGTATACAGCGAACACTGATTTGACTGCGGCGACGAGTCAGAGTCTGGGCACTACACTCCTCAGTACCGCTAAAACTCTACTACAAGCGCCGGTCAATGCAACAACCAGCACAACGGCCAGCCTACTAACGTCCGTCTCCACGAATGCCACACGCGCCGCTTCCGCGTTGGCTAATGCCACCGCGTCTATTTCGTCCTCCGCTGCTGCATACGCCACCGAACTGCACACGAGCACACTGACCGCCGCCACGACACTGGCGAGCGGTGGTGCTAACGCGCACGCGGCAATGGGCAACGGCGGCAGCAGTAGCAACAGTAACGTGTTGACCACCGCGCCGAGCATCATTTACCCGCCCTATCAGGTCGCGATACGCAGTTTTGAGAATTGCTCGGCGCTCTTCGCCAATTACACGCGACCGCAAAATGGTGAGTAGCCAAAGGCGTATTACAGATAATAATGTTATCCGTAATGGACAACAACAACAACAATACAATAATGGTAGGTGAACACAATGCAGCCAAGCAGACACATCTGTGGTGTTGAAATTATTGTATTGTTATTGTAATTTGTATTGTTATTGTATTATCGCGTCATATTTAAGCCAATTATGTCAGCCTGCACCGTTAAATCGTTCTCGATTTGCATATGATTTGTGTCAACTCATGCGGGATCTGATTTGGCCGACGCTATTTGTCAACTCGCTGACACTTTGCTTTGATTTATTAGTCGGGCTATGACATGTGGGTTTTTATCTCATTGCTGCCACATTTGGTGGCGTTGAAATTTTGCGCGCGTTTAGCTGTGAATTCGCCACTTGATTGATGGCTTCCATTGATGTATTTGTTTTGTGGACATTGATTTGTGCAGTCTTAATTAGCAAATCCCAAAATAAATCAAAAGACGACAAGCAGGGCGAAAAGAGGTAGTCATTAAATGACCAAACAATATGATTTCCCTCGTGAGATGCATCAGAGAAGCAGTAGTAATGTTAGAAAGATATTTTTGGTATCGCCTTTTTAATGAGGATCCATGATAAGAGGACCGAGGTGGGTAAGGTTTTGACAGAATAAACTTTGTTTGCGTTTCAGATCACAAAGAGATCTCAATGCAGTACTCGCGATGTTAAATGGAAAGAACAAGTTCGGATGACCTTCCCCGAAGCCACGAACATAGTCTTTTATGGTTACTTTTGCGAAGAGTCGTGGACATACTTCTTCCTACCACATCACAATTAGTCGTAACGACCTCTGCGTATAAGAGATTCGTAAAAAAGTTGAAGATATCTCTGAAAAGGTTGCACCTGTTTAGAAAATTCAGAGCCAAAAGGTTCCGGATGTTCGCTTTCTGCACTGAACCTGTCAAAAAAGCCTTTGGTACAAAAAAAGATGGAGAATTTGGTGCAATGTCCATGCTCAGATACTGACCACTGTTGGATTAAACATAACTACATTCATGTATATACACAGTTTTAATTAAGACGACCATCCCCTAAGACTTCTCTATCAAAACCATCATAAGTCGACTGAAGAGTCATTAACTCCTTCGCTGACTTCTGCTCTCTTTATCATCTCTTTTTCCCTCTCTTTCACCAAAGAATTAAACCGTGATTTCCAAAGCATTCGTCTACTACCCTGGCTTTCTACCGACCCATTCAGATGACTTTAAGTTTCAATAAGCTTGAATATTAGGCTAATTACCCTGCCAAGCTTAGGTTATGCTTAGATGAAGATTTTACTCTAAGTTAGGAAAAACCATGTGGTAGATTCAGGCTGCCGTATAATTAGCGCCGGGCACCTTTTTCCCCAGCCACGCACTTCAAAGATCATTCAAGTTCAGATGCGGTTTTAGGTTACCCATTGAGCAGAGCCTTGGTTTTTTTATATTTGTTTAACTCAAATCCGCTCAGCAAATGGAGACGACTCTTACTAGTTAATATACTCACGGATTTGGGAGTAGTCCACTTAAAGTTATCTGGAAGCTGTTTTCATAAAAAAGCTTCAGTGGCTCGAGCTACTCGGCTTCTAATAGTTATTTTTCCTTTATGTAAGCGAGAGGCTTTGAAAACCACAAGCTTCAGCAGGCAATACTTTCGGTATGGACATCTTCATTTGGCGAAAAGCTAAGGCTTACGAAAGTATACCACATTGGAACCGCAGGAGGCTCTACTTCTTACGAAACCTTGAGCAGCTGGAATCACTCTGCTTCTGGTAAATCATATACTAACCGCTGAAAACCCTGCCTCTGAGTCGCCTCAGTCCCTGGTATTTGGTGACTATGTACTTCTGGCTACGAAGTTTATCCCACTATTAAGTATTACGTACCGTATCAGAAAAGGATCTACAAAATGCAACAATATAAGTAGTGGCCGACCATGCACCATGCAGAACAGTGGGAAATCATTTCTGTAGGCTCTCTGGCGGTCCAGCCTTTGATAAACTGCAGTCTAATAGCTTCAGACGATCTTTACTTCCAAATAATTACCTCCCAACAACTCGCCCATCAAGCCAGTCCCGTACTCCAGGACTTTCTATTCTACTATCTACACACAGCCACTCGAACCCGATTGCAACAAACCAACCCCTTTACAGTGCATCAGTAGCATTAAGACTTTGTTAACATAAGAATTAACAAAGTTATTGAAGAGCTTAGTAGCATGAAGTGTACACATTCTTATGCACATACAATCCACAGAACCACTGTTTAACATGGCATTAGACTGAGGTTTGATTTGTGCGTTGGCACATTTTGATTGAGTCGAGTGTGGCTTGGTATATTGAAAAGCTGTTAAACCGAGTCGATTGTGGCAGTGTGGAAGGAGCGAGGAGTAAAGGGAGAAGTTGGAAGTGAGGAGAGTGAGTACAAGGATGAAGAAGAGTCAAGTTTGTATTGAGAATGGTTAGGAGAGTGACAGCACGTATGAGCCGTACGTTTGCAACGACAGTTAATTAAATCAGCAAACGGAATGCAAGCAAGCGACAGTTGTCAGCTCAATTGCTCATTTCCGGGCTAAAACAAGGTTTGAGTGAGACACAGCTCCACAGGCTGGACTAACTGACTGCTTGATAAGGTTTTTTTAATTGCCACACAAACTCAGTTTGACATATGTCTAGTGGACGTTGTTCTATAGTGAGCATGCTCGGAATCGGAATATCTCTTCGACCGACTGTCTGTCACTTTAACTCACCACCTCAGCTACCGGTGCCTCATATCTCTACGTGCTACGAGGAGCCTCAACAGTTTTTCAGTTTTTGGCAAATGTAAATCAAATGTGGCATATACATATCATACATATCAATACGCTACCCACACGGCGGTAGTTTTCTACTCGGGCAAAGGTGCAAGCAAAGTGGTTCGGCTACACCGGGGCGTATGAGTGATTAGATTTTGCCATTTGACAGTCCAGCACTTGGACTTTAAAAAAGTGTTTTTTGATGATGTAAATATGATTTCGCTACTGCCACTTGCTTGCAACATACTTCTCTGCGCTGCCAAGAGCTTTTGGGAGCAAGAACAAAATATTTTTAAGCTTTGCTTTGCCAGGCAGTCATTGGCTGTAGAGGGAAACTTGGTGGGCTTAGGTGTACACGTACTTTTGTAAAGCTTTCTATCAGTCTGTGTATATGTGGCATGCCTCGTTGCGTGGAAACTGCATTTGACACACCAATTCTGGCGTCAGCAGCAAAAGCCACAACAGCGGTGTCAATAAAATCCCTGTCAACTCATGCGTGAGGTGACTTTGTAGACTCTCAATGAAGTTTATGACGCACGTAACGGTAAAATACATCCTTTGTAATACCAGGTCGCTCTAAGGTATGAAATTTTCCTGTCAAAGAACGAAACCAGGCAACTAAAAATTCAAATAAATCTCATATTATATATGTCTCATATACATTGTATCCATTATCTGTATGTTTGTATGTATTGGAGTGTAAAATATGACACTTTCGTTGAATTAATTATTCATTAGTGCCACATACATATGCCGCTAACGGTGAAATACACTTTTAATGGACTACAATCACAAGTCCCAAGCGCTGGAAGCGGAGGCCAAAAAACCTTTGAGGCAAAAATCATTTCTATCGTACATACGTACATACATACATACGAGTACACAGTAAAAACTCAATAAAATGTCGATTTCACCAAATAATGCCACATGCCACTTAAATAAATGTCTACTTTCAACTCAATATTTTCTTGATTGCCTTCGTTAGACATTTTCAAATGCATTGACCCAAATACTCCACTGCAAGTCATTGTATGTAATGAGCGTTAAATGAAGAAAAATTATAAAAAAAAAATTGAAAAATTAAAAAAAAAAACCAAATCAACGGCAAAGCAATGCATGCAACTTCATCTTTTGACTCCTTTCGCCATGTTGGCAGGATAGTAACATCGTTCTGCTGCTTGGTAAATTTAAAATGTAAATGATTACGTAAGCAAGAAATGGCGTGAGTAGGACACATTAATCAAAAGCGCATCATGCTGATTATATAATGACTTCAAACCAACAGTCAGCCACAACAGCGAAAGAATTCTAACAATAAAATGTCATTGAACTCACTCGTCCTACCGGTCACTTGCCAACATGTAGCTTATCATGCTACATATAAACAGCATTTACAATGCACAGTGTGCATTTCTTTGCATTTGCGAACAGTTTTGCGTATCACTTTGTATGGTGGGTATGCGTAAAATTTATTCGATTGTGTTTATTTTTCGTTATAATATTTTTAAAATTACTACAAGTATATAAGCGAAGTTTCAAAATCATATAATTAACCATGCGCTATTTATGGCAATTTGAAGCGTTTTTGAAGCTTTCTTTGTATGACAGCTTTGCCTAAACAAGATACGTTTACAATTATTCTTCTTCACTTCGTTTCTTATAATATTTTAAGCATTCCATTAAAATTTTCAAATTATTTGTGCAAAACTGCGCGTTTTATGGCAATTTTAAACGTTTTCGAGTTTAAATATGTATGGGAGGTATGCGTAAATAGAAACAAAATTTGAAAATTTTTTACCAGTTCATATCTGGCATTATTTTAAACATGTAAACAAAATTTCGAGTGTATATGTTTGACGGTAGACTTTTTATAGCCATTAAAAGCATTTTTGAAGCTTATTTTGTATGGCAGGTATGCGTAAATAGAAACAAAATTTGAAAAATTTTTACCAGTTCATATCTAACATTATTTTAAGCACACAAACGAAATTTTGAGTGCTTATATTAGACATCAATCTTTTTATAGCCATTAAAAGCGTTTTTGAAGTTTATTTTGTATGGCAGGTATGCGTTAACGGGAACCAAATTTGAATATTTTTTACCAGTTCATATCTAACATTATTTTAAACATACAAACGAAATTTTGAGTGCTTATATTAGACATCAGTCATTTTATAGTCATTAAAAGCGTTTTTG